ATGGAAGCGACCCAAGTGTCCACCAATAGATGAATGGATAAAGAAGATGTGGTACATATACACCATGGAATATTATTCAGCCGTAAGAAGAAAACAAATCCTACCATTTGCAACAACATGGATGGAGCTAGAGGGTATTATGCTCAGTGAAATAAGCCAGGTGGAGAAAGACAAGTATCAAATGATTTCACTCATCTGTGGAGTGTAAGAACAAAGGAAAACTGAGGGAACAAAACAGCAGCAGAATCACAGAACCCAAGAATGGACTAACAGTTACCAAAGGTAAAGGGACTGGGGAGGGTGGGTGGGAAGGTAGGGATAAGGGTGGGGAAAAAAGTGGGGGCATTATGATTAGCATATATAATGGGGGGGCACAGGGAGGGCTGTGCAACACAGAGAAGACAAGTAGTGATTTTACAGCATCTTACTACGCTGATGGACAGTGACTGTAATGGGGTTTGTGGGGGGGACTTGGCGAAGGGGGGATCCTAGTAAACATGTTCTTCATGTAATTGTAGATTAATGATACAAAAATAAAAAATAAAGAATGAAGGTTTACTCTTACCTCACACCGTATATAAAAAGTTAACTCAAAATGGATCAAAAGACCTAAATATAAAAGCTACAACTATAAAACTCCCAGAAGAAAACATAGGGGGAAGTCTTCACAACATTGGATTTAGCAGTGGATTTTTAGATCTGATATCAAGGGGAAAATGGGCAACAGCCTTTATTTTTGTTTTTGCAGGAAGGAATGAGTGAGGCAGGTGAAGCAAGTCAAGCAGATTTAGGTTGACTAGTTTGAATCATTTCAGTGGGCTCTGGGGCACAGGAGCTGTCCCTAGTTGTCTGGTAACTGGCCCTGGAGTGAATGGGCAGGAGACTGGCCAAGAAATAATGATTTGCCAAGTGGGAGCTTGGTCAAGGAGGTGGTTTGGGGGTATGCGCTTTGCATCAAGTGAAAGGTGAAAGTACTTACTACGTGAAAAATGATTCTGTAATTGTTTTGTAAATATTGCCACAAGACACAAAACACGTGGGTCAGAGACACAGGGCTTTTTGGTCCAAGGAGCCCTTCAGAAGTGTGAACATTAACACAATTTGTTTGGATTTCTCTTTATAAGCCGTCCATGGGGTTGATGCAGAGGGACTCAGGAGTCTGCTGCACATACCTCAGGGTGTATCACAGTCAAAGAACACTGAGCCGGGGGAATCCACCACTTTTATACAGGCAGTAAGCTCGCCTTCTCTTTCTCTGGGGGGAAATGTTACTTCGCTCTCCTGGGTTGCTTGCCTGCTGTCAACACAGTCCTAAGACAGGGCCTGGATAGAGAGCAGTCAGGGCTTGGATTTTAGTCGTGCTCAGCAGGAAGGTATGGACAGGCTCGGCTGCTGCGGACTGCCTCTTTCTGGAGGCCTGGGGAGAATCCGTCCCTTGCCTCTTGAAGCTTCAGGTCGGTGCTGGTATCTTGGGCACTGGCTACATCACTCCAACCTCTGCCTCTGTCTTTATTTCACCTCCTCCTCTGTCTGTAGTCAAACATCCGTCTGCTTCCCTCTTACAAGGATAGATGAGGTTGTCCTTGGGGCCTGCCTGGATAATCCTGGATAACCCCGCCTCAAGATCCTTAACATACTCACATCTGCAAATAGCCTTTCTGGGGCTGTTGCTTTGCCATAGAAAGTAACACACATAGGTTCCAGGGATCAGGATATGGGTGCCTTGGGAGTGACCACTTTTCAGCCTACCACAACCATTGCATTAAGAACCTTTCAAAGATACAGTAAAAACAACAGTCCTCATCAGTTGGGAGGTTGAAACAAGGACACAGCAAAGATAATTTAATTCATGGAGTGTCAGAGGGCAGAAGAATTTGGTAAGAGGGCTGAACTTAGGGGAGGCTAGTTCCAGTGGTTCAGCAATATTATCACAGACTTGGTTTCTTTCTGCATCTTCTCTGCTTTTTGAAGTGTTGTCCACACTGGCTTCCTTCGTGGTTGAAAACTGGCTTCCAGAAGTTTCTGTGGTTATAGGTATGCTATCTTTCACTCGCTCCCTTCTCCGCTCCCCAGAATGATCTCTCAAAAGTGCAAAGTAGTTCATATCATTCCCATCATTCCCATCCTTATATGCTGTTCTGTGGCTCCCCAGTGCCCACAGCAGGAAATCATTGTGCCCAACAAGTCATGCTGACCTGGACCCCACGTGCTCTGTGCAACATCAGCCATTGTAAAGTTCCACACAGTACCCTGCCCCTTCTCGTCTCCATTCCTTTGCTTGTGCTGGTCCCTTTGCGGCAACAGCCTCCTCTCTCTGCACCCGGGCTAACTGTACCTACAGACTCAGATCTAAGGGACTCAGGCGCTGTGTGATCTTCGACAGCAGCATAAAGCTCAGTAACTCTTGGCTCTTAATTCTTAATGTTATAGTTGCCATTCCTGTTCTTAGGAGCAAAATCCCTGGGACAGGCAGGCCCCCCAGGAAAATCACAGAACAGGACCCCTGCACGGCTAAGAGGCCGCCCTTTTGACTATAAGTTTAGGGAGAAAGCGCGCCGTGGCGGGTGAGAACAAACGAGGACTGCGCGCCCTCTGTCGGCGAAAAGAGGGGACCGCGGAGAAGGACGCCCATCCGTTCCCCAACGCCAAGGCCAACCGCAAGGTCAAAGCTGCTGCTGCTGCTTCCTGGGCACCTGTTACCGCCAGGCACACGACAGTCGCGCCACCCATGTAAAATATAGTGTATCTGGGTTTAAAAAAAATACTTAATCATTTATTATATACTGTCTGCCCCACTAGAATGTGTGTGCAAGAACTTCAGTTTGTTCACAGCTGAATCCCCAGCCCCTACAGCAGGTAATGGGGCACACAGTAGGTGCTCAATAAATTATGAGGAATGGAATTAGCATCAGTACTGCCCTTAGACTCAGGCCCAAGCCTTCCCCAGGGCAAGGAATCCCCAGGAGTAAGATGTGCCCCTGCCTCTGGACATACACAGGACCTCAGAATTCCTTGAACAGGCAGCCCCTAGCCTCCTTCCAAAACCTGCATGGGCCTCCTCCCTGAATTAGCAGTGGAGGGGATCGGGGTTCCTCTCAACCCAAGGGGACCCCAGTCTCTGCTGTGGACAGAGCTGGAGCAAACAAGTGGGGTGCGCAGGAGGCCCCCACGGCGGGATGGCGGGAAGGAATAGGAGTGGGCTGCCAGTTGGGAGCCAGGGGCCCGCTCTCCAGCCGCCTCCGTGCTCCTGAGCAGAACTCCAAGGTGTCCAGGAATTCTGAATCCCAAGGCTTCTGGCCTCCAGGTCAGAGGAACTCGAAAGGGCGTTGTCGGCAGGACGGGGGGACTGCAAGCACTCGTGAGCAGAGGTCACTCGGGTTAGCCCAGCAAAGGAGGAGAGGCCCACAGGACGGGGACGGAGGTGGGAGCGGAGAGCAGTCTCCTCCCCCGAAGAAGAGGAACGAGAAATGGGCGCTTATCACGTGAGGTTCCCGAATGACCAAAGGAGGGACTGACCCAACGAATGTGGGAGAGCTGCGCCCACCCCTCTGCCCTCCCCAGGTGCCCCGAGTGAGCCGTGGTCTCTGGCAGAAAGGGAAATCCATTTCGAAATTTCACTAATCACAACCATTTGGTGGGGACTGTCGCTTTGCACACATCTCTCTGTTTTGTCTTTTTGAAGGTGCTTTGGTGAGGAGGGTAGATCATCTGCTGTTAGCGGGATATCTAACTGTCCCATATGTAGCGGTATGGGGTACACAGGCCGCTGTCTGTACTCGCGGAGAAACACACATTTACAACGGCCTGAAGAGGGAAGAACTGGCATCCAGTCCATTTCACAGATGGAGAAACCGAGAGTGGCTTCATTTGTGATGTTCACAGGTATTTATCACCAACTATATGCTAGAAACTGGTGCATAATGGTAAGAGAGAGGGGGAAATTGCCAGCCCCTTCTTTATCTTTAATGAGGCAGTTGTACATTCTGGAATATTTGGGACAGTCCATGTACACCTCTTGAGCCAGCATAATTATTCATAGCTTCCTCTCTCTCAAGGGCCATGGTTTGGACAATAAAGTATATGCTATGATGGTACTTATAGACCTCACTTGTATTAGAGTTAAGCGAGGAATTACATAGTGGTTAATAACTACAGTTGTGATGAATATGAAGGAGAGGAAATTATGTCAGGACAGCAAAGAAAGGGATCTGTCTCTGAGGAGGTGGCACAGAAGCAATAGTGAGTGACAATTAGGATGGGGTAAGTGTGGAGGGTGAGCATTCCAGGCTTGGGGTTGCCAGGGGAAAAACTGAAGATTTTGCACTGTGTTTTAAACTCGTCCTCGCTATTGTCACCATTTAATTTGACTTCTATCACTGTTGATACAACAACAAATGAGTGTTTTTTGTTAACTGCAAGAGAATCTGAGGTTTTACACTGGCTGAATGAACTGCAACAGGATCAAAACAAGTCAGGTGATAAGTTAAATATTTGAAAATTCAACTTCCTGAAGTATATGGGGACTAAGTCTAATTTCCTCCTATAAAAAAGTGCACAATATAATATAGTCTCGGGATTAAAGGCAATATCACAGTTACACACTGTAGTTTCAGTGAACGCTCACAGGGCACGTCTCAATGTTCGGCTGACAAGATTCAGACTAAACAAAACTCTTAACAAGGGAAGACTTCACCCCATCCAGCTAATGACTGTATTCTTAGTATCATTAAGGGATTGGATGTGTAAATACCCCTGTCTTTTTACAAAAGGCTAGCTGAGTGTTTTGTAAGCTTAAAAGTAAAGTGCAAAGTTCCTGAATTTCTTAAGGTTCCTCTGTTTAAAACTTGTACACAGTGTGTACCAAGCCCTCCGGGGGCAGGGTAGTCAAAGCATCTTCAAAGGCAGCAAGAAGGGCAGGTGGCTGGGGGACTAAGGAAGGGGGTCTCGGGAATGAGAGGTGAGGCTGGGGCGAAGGCAGTCCATGTGGTGCCATGGTGAGGAACTTGGGACTCATCTTAAGAGTCATGAGAAGCCACAGAAAAATGTGACTCACTTTTGAGGGTGACCTTTGGGAAAGACCTGATCAGATCTGAGTTGTGGCCTCACAGGGGCCAGGGTGCATGCTGGGAGGTCACCAAGGAAGTGACCCACCTAGGGGAGCAAAATCCAGGTGTGAGGAGATGGTGGTTGGACCAGGGCAGAGAGAATGGAAACAGCCTAATGCATAGGACATTTAGAAGGTAGTGACGTGACTTGGGATGAATTAGACAGTCATTCAGTCATCCCATAAGTATTTATTAAGCACTTGCTATGTGCTGGGTGTTATTTTGGGTGCCAGAAACAAGAAGAGAGAAAGCAAAGGTTGGTCGAGGATGATGCGCAGAGGTGTGGCTTTTGTAACTCCAAGATGATCGTATTGTTCCCTTAGTCAGGGACTCCTGGCAGAGGGCTGACTTTGGAGGAGCAGATCATGAGCCATTTGGGGAATGTTGCCTTTGAGGTGCCTGTGGGACATGCAAGTGGAGATGTCACACAGATCCGGGTGGATATACTGATCCAGAATTCAGCGGAGAGCTCTGGGCTGGACATAAACATCTGGACATCATCAGCATTTCAGTGGTGGCTGAAGCTATTAGCTGCGTAAGATCACCTGGCAGACAAGGTCTAGTATAATGGTCAAGGAGGAAATCAGTCTGACAGGGAGCAAAAAGGCCAGCCAGAGAAAAAAGAAAGTCTGCAGTCTTATGACACAGAAGCTAAGGGAAGTGAGCATTTCAAGAAGGAAGCGGCCAACTATGTCAAATGCTGCCCAGTTGCCCAAGGTCATCTAGCTAATAAGTGGCAGGGCTGAACTTTAAAACCAGCTCTAACTATTTAATAAATGGCACTAGGACAAATGGCTAGCCATCTGGAGACAAAGTTAAACCACTGCTTCACACCGTATGCAGTTATAAAGGTCTAAACATAGAACACAAGATAACAATATTTTTTTTTTAAATAGAAGAAATTTCATAATCCTGGTCTGGAAAGATCTTCTTAAAGCAAGGCAGGAAATACAGAAAACATAAAAGAAAAAAATAGATTTTGTTAATAGACTGAAGAAAAAGGTCTGCAGCACATTTGACAAATGTAGAGTTCATATCCCCCATACACCACAATGGTTGCAACAGGAACACTGACTGGAAGAGATGAACAGGTCAAGAAGATGCATGCAAACAGCCACAAATAAGTAAAGAGCCAATCACCTCTGTGATGTTTGAAGAAATGCAAATAAAACAATGAGATACCATTCCTTGGATTGATAAAGCATTTCACTGACCACATTTTGGGGGAAAATAAATAGTAAAACTTCTGGGGGGTGATATTTGGTAGTATCTATTAAAATTTTTAATGTAGCTCTATTTCCTGATCTGGGTGCTGGATCCAGGCTTTGGTTTCCTTGCCTGTAAAAGGGGGTCAATGATAATATCTATCCCACAGACCTGTTGGGAGCATGTTTTGAGATAATTCATGAAAAGTACTCAGAGATGGCTGGCGGGCCATGTGTGATATCATGGGTCTGAGGATGATCCACCTGGGCATGGCAAATATTGTAGGGAAAAAAAAAAGACTTACCCCACTGTTCTCATTGGTGACCTCAGACCGGCAGAGCTGGAGGGAATGGGACACAGGCAATTAACATTTTGTATTAATTCAACCTGTTACAGCTAGCAGGTGATACTTTTGTAATTTTTATAAAAAGTCCACTGAAGTAGAAGGAAAGGAGGAAGAGCAGAATGAGGAACCTGCCTTGAACTCACAGGCACTCTAGGAGGAAGTGGGGACAGGGGCTTGGGCTGGTCAAAGGCCCCGGGAGAGAGACTTCTCCCCAGGGGGTGACCCCAAGCCACTGAGTGGCCCTGGGCAAACGGCTGTTCCTCTCTTCAGAGTCCCTCCTGTGCAGAACGGAGCTGCCGGGGGCACCCACGTTAAGCACGTTGCTTACTACCGGAGCAGATTTGTGGTACTGTGAGCCAGACATCTTCTGAGGGCTTGCCTCTTGTCAACCTGTCCAATCCCACATCGACTCCTATGAGTTCGGTACTTTACATTCTCGTCCCCATTTTGCAGGTGGGGAAAAGCGAGGCACAGAAAGGTTAGTTCCTGGTGGGAGTTCCCAGCTGGAATGTAGCCAGAACTCAAATGCAGGCAGCCAGGCCCTGGACTGGGGCTCTGGACCCCCAGGCTCTACTATCTCCCACATTTCAGCGAGATGACTCCCACATGCCCAGACTCAGTTGCTCCACTGTGGAATGGGCCTCCCAGTACTCCCCTCCTCAGTTTGCGGTAAGGGTCAAATGACATGGGGTTTGGGCCTGGGGGAGGTGTTTGTAAAATGGGAGCCTTTGTTACCCCAGGCGGGGCCTCGTGCTCTCTCTCCCCCATGTTAAGTTCCTGGTGACTTGTCTGATGCTCCACTGAGAAGAGGGGCAGTGCAAGGAACCAGGTGTTCCAGAAACCCCAGGCGAAGTGCCCAGTGGGCCTGTGTGGCCCTCCCCACCTCCACTCCTGGCTCGGAGAGGGGCCCCCTGGCTTTGTCATGGGCTCACCCCTCCCCACCGGCCCCCTCCAACCACACTGCATCCTGTTGGTGCCCAGCCAGAGAAGGAAGTGGAGTCTGGGGCCCAGGGTGACCCGCCTGGGAAGTCCTGCCGGGTGTGAAGCAAGGCCTTCCCTGCGGCTGAGCCCCAGCAGATAAAGGAAGCCCTGCGAGCCTGAGCCCCAAGGCATTCGTGCGCGCCCTGCCTGCCATGTCCCGCCGCTGTGCGCTGTTCACCTGGGCCCTCCTCGCCCTCCTCGGACTTGGGGCGCCTCGAGAAGACCCAAACACCTGCTGCCCCATCGTGCCCCGGAGGGAGTGGAAGGCCCTGGCGTCCGAGTGCTCCCAGCGCCTGAGCCTGCCTGTGAGATACGTGGTGGTGTCGCACACGGCAGGCAGCAACTGCAACACCCCGGCCTCATGCCTGAAGCAGGTCCAGAACGTGCAGCACTACCACGCGCGGACCCTGGGCTGGTGCGACGTGGGCTACAAGTGAGTGTGGAGGGGAAGCAACGCTGGGGCCGGGCCTGGTAGTGGGGGAGAGAGGCGTGCAGGCCCCAGAGACCGCGGGGCAGGTTCTAGAGCCGCCGGGCCGGCCTCCTCAACCACAAGATGTCCCCGTTTCTCCCCAGAGTGGCCAATAGGGCCGGGCATGCGCAGGCAGCGCAGAGACGCTAGGAGGAGGGCGAAGGCGCAAGTGCGAGCCCTGCTCCCCGGAGGGACAGACTCTGCTAACACATCTGGAGTCCCCTCAGTCAGGCTGGTGCCTTGGCTGGGACGTGGGTGACCAGGCTGGCTAAGTGTGGTTCCAGGAGGGCAGAGGCCTGGGGCGAGTCACCAAGCCCCCGCCGCTGTTTCCTCTGCATTCAGTGGGACAGCAGCTCACTTGATCACCAGACCACCCAATACACGCGAAGCACTGAGGACACCGCCTGGCATGTGGTCAGAGCCCCAGGTCCATGGACTGTTTGGCACCTACTATGTGCCAGGCCGTGTGCCGGTGCCAGGATGGGGCCAGCCAAGAGCAGTGCGAGGCTAGCCCCAAGGGATCTGGCAGCAGGGAGAAACAGCAAAGTCAACAAAAATGAATCCAGGTGGTGAAAGAGGCAGTGGAAAAAAGGAACAGTGAGGTGGCTGTGAGCTGGGGGACAGCGGCGCTGTGAGGCTGAGCGGTCACACCCAAAGGGCAGAGGTCAGGGTGGCTGGAAGTAGTTAGGAGGAGTGATAGGAAATGAGGGAGAGGTCGGCAGGGGCCAGATGGCACGGGGCCTCGGGGCCACGGTGAGAACTTCAGTCCTACTCTGAGGGAGCCAGGGGCCAGGGGCCGGGGGCGCCTGCTGAGGTGTAAGAAGCTCCCGCTGGCTGCTGTGCCCAGACTGTAGTGGGGGTGTCAGCAAAAACAGGGATGAGGACTGGTTAGGTCCGCCTCTGGGGCCCATAACCCACCAGCTCCCTTTTTGGGGTAATTGGCTGGGTTCAGCACAAGTTTCTGTAGGGAGAGAGAAGGGTTGAACCCTCTAGGCCCTCAGGCCTGGCTCTGCGGCCTCTGGCCTTAATCACCTTACAGGAAGGCAGACTGAAGTCTGTCTCTCAGATTTTAGGATTCAGAGTCTGAATCAAACATTCCAAATCCCCCTTCCTTGTCCCATCACGTTCTGAGCCTCAGTTTTCTCCCCTGTAAAATGGGCCCACTGTACCCACCTGGTGAGGCCGGGTGAAGTGAAGTCAGATGTGTTCATCTGATACATACACAGGGAGCACGGAGTGCCGATTGCTGGGCTGTGGCAAGGCCAGAACTGGCCCACTCCCGGGGGCTGGCGTCACCTCTGGTGTTCCTAGTCTCTTCGGAGCCAGATTCTGAGAGTCTGGCTTCCTAAAGGGCAGATTCAGGACCCAAGATTCAGAAGTGCCACCAGTCTGTGCGTCAGAAGTGACCCCATGAGCCAGGGGGCTGAGGTGGCAGATACTGTAGCACCGAGATGCTGCCATCTAGTCAATCCTCACTCAAGATCTGCCGCCAGGACTGGAAACCTCCAAGGGGCAGAATGGGGCCCCAGGGTCTGTGTCTGGTAGTGACACCAACCCCCGAGTCCCTGATCCTGACACTCAGTGTGCCCCGGGCAGGGAACAGGAAGCCGGAAGCAGAGCACAAGAGCTTCTCGGTGGAGATTTCTGAGGCAGGGGTCTCTGGGGCGCGACTGTGGGCAAATCACGTCTCTCGCTCTTAAAGTGGGGATGACAACAGTACCTGCCTCTGAGGACTGCAGGTGGGGACTCAGCAAATCAAGAGCTCAACAAATCCTCCAGGAACGCAGGAGAAAGTGAGGAATCAGATCACGTGGGTGGGTCACAGGGACCTGGGTGAAGAATCCTAGCTCCGCCCCTATCAGCTGTGTAACCTCGGACAGGTATCTCTACCTCGCGGATTCTCTATCTACCAAATGGATACAGGAGTGACTCACAGGGCTGCTGTGAGGATGAAAAAAGGTGCATGTAGAGCTGCACTTGGCACATGCCAGGCGCCACGGTCATTGTTACTATTGTGGAAGATTAGGTGGCACGAGGGAGGGTGTTGGGAAGTTGTGTGTGGGTAGCAGGAACATGGGTGCGGTGAGTAGAGGAGGGAGGAGCCCTCCCCCAGGGAGCCCGCCCGCACTCAACCAAGCCCACGACCACCTGCACAGCTTCCTGATCGGAGAAGACGGGCTCGTGTATGAGGGCCGGGGCTGGGACACCGAGGGCGCCCACACAGGGAGCACCTGGAACCCCATGTCCATCGGCATCTCCTTCATGGGCAACTACATGGGTAAGTGACTGTCCTGTCGCCGGGAGAGGGGGACGACATGGGCTATGGGGATGGCACAGTGTGGTGTGTAGTTGCTGAGAGGCTCTGCCACCTACAACTCTGTGTCTCTGGGCAAGTGACTGCTTTTCCGAGCCTCATTTCCTCCTGTAGATAATGACCACTTTCAACTACAGTTTGGGTGAGGATTAGTTAATCTACATAAAAGATCTAGGCCAGTCCATGGCCCCTAAGAAGAGCCTGATAATAGCAGCTATTCTGAGTAGGACCCAGAGGTCTGAGGACTGAGGAGGAAGCAGCAATATTCTTGACACCAACACTTACTGCGGGCTTGCTCTGGGCCAGGCACCCTTCTGTGGGCTTTATATAAAGTAACTCGTTTCACTGTCCCACAGCCCTGTGGACAGGTGCCATTATTTCCCCCCCCCCTTTCCCAGATGAGGAAACTGAGGCAGAGAGAGATTAGGCCACTGCTAGGGAGTGGCAGACCCGGGTCCAGGCCCTGGGGGGCCAGCCGGGAGCACAGTCAGAACCACCACCCCACACGACCTCTGCCCTCCGTGGGAGCCTAACGCCTGCCTCTGCACCCCCCCCAGAGCGGTCACCACCGCCCCGGGCCCTCAGGGCAGCCCAGAGTCTGCTGGCTTGTGGAGTGGCTCTGGGAGCCCTGAGCCCGAAATACGAGGTCAAAGGACACCGGGATGTGCAGCAGACACTTTCCCCAGGTGACCAGCTCTACGAAATCATCCGGACTTGGCCACACTACAGCGAGTGAGGCCCTTCTACTATTCAGGCCAGAAATCTCCCTGCCTTCTCCTCGAATAAAGGTGCAGCTCGAACTGTTTCTATGTCCTGCCGCCCACCTCCCCTCTCTCCCTCCCTCCCACCAGACCCCCCTGTCTGCCCCACACCCTAGCACTCTGTGCTCTCTGGTGCTCAGAACCCAGAGGCCAACCTTGAACCAAGTCCCCAGAGATCTCAGCTCAGAAACATCCCACCCCAGAACCCACAGATCTCAGGTCAGAGGGCAGGAATCAGCACCAGGTTGGTCCAGATGTCACTGACAGCAACTCGGGGAGGCAGATCCTCTTGGGCAGTGAACCACGCTGCAGGACACCCTCTCTCTACCACACAGCCCAAGACATCCTGTGCAGCATCTCTGCTTGGACCCCTCTGGGGAAGAGCTGCTCACTACCATCCCTTAGAGCACTCCTTTCACTGCTTTGGAGAGAGTGGTTTTTCCTGAGCCTCAGCCCGTCTGCCTCCCAGTCTCAGACATGCCCAGAAATATACCCAGGTCCCAATTACACCCCCAACCAATCCTTACTTCTCCCCATTTCACCCCCAATCTTTCAGTCATAAACTGAGGAATCCCAAAAGCAAATCTGTTTATTTACAAAATACCCTCCTTCCCAGCATGCAATGCCTGGTGGAGAGGCCAGGGTCAAGGCCTCACACACCTGCAGCCCTGTGAGCACCAGACGGGTGGGACCTGGGCCACTAGAAGGACACCCTGGCCGCTGGGCAGGCACACTGAATCCAGGGGTGGGTAGGGGGTGAAGGGTCAGTGCTCCCTCTTCGAGGTCACAAGCGCGTGTCCAGCTGGTTCATATATTCCTGCAAGGCCTTCAGGCGGGCGTCTATTTCTGCCATGTCAGCCGCCTGGTGGTCAGAGCTGTACTCTGTGAGAACAGGTGTGGCTGTGAGGGGCTGAAACGGCCTGAAACCAGAGGATGTTCCAGGGCCCAGTTTGCTGCCCTTGGTTCCATCCAGGTTCTGGCACAAATGAGGAAGGGATGTGGAGTCCCAGGCTCACCTTTCATGGGTACCCAGCCCCCCGAACTGGCCAGGCGTCTCTGACGGCTGCCGTGTTCCAGGGGGGTGGACTTCTGCTGCTGGGGAAAACAAGAAAGGGGGTCAGGGAGCGTGCGAACCCCACCAGAAATTCTGAACCAGAAGGTCTCAGAAAAACAGAGCTGACACCTAACTGGGTCCTTATTAAACGCCAAATAACCTTGTATCTTTGCCAGAACCCTCTGAGGGGAATACTGTTTAATGGGGATAAATAGGTAGAGACACTAAGTAACTACCTTGAATCGCACAGATCATGATAGGAAGGGGAGCCAGGTTTTAACACCTGGCAGTTTGAGGCCAGAGCTGGTGCTCTTAAACACCATCCCCTGTCCCCATTCCACCCCATCCCCTCCTCCAATCAATCCAATGACCTCAAAACACTGCATCCAGAGGCATTAAGAGCCTGATCTTCCAGAATAGACTCATGGGAGAAAGGCACGCCGCTTCTGGTGGTTTCGTGCTGTCCCTACCTCCTCCAAGGCCCGAGGAAAGACACTCACCGTATTGGACCCACTCCAGGTTGTGGGGCTGGGAGGCTTCCCCCGACGGTGGCGGGAGCTAAGAGGAGGCAGTAATCAAGGACTAATGGGAGGAGTCTTTGGCACCTCCCACCTCGCTCTCTGTGGTTTCAAGGCTCCAGCCTCCACCACCTAATTTCCCTGCGAAAGACTGTTTCCAGTCTCCCCAGACACCCACTGGAGGTGGTCCTTTCCCCAGCCCAAGTTTTACCCTCTAGGGAGGGATTCAGAGAAATCCTCGAACTCGCTGCAGGAGCTGGCGGGCGAGCAGCGGCTGCGGAAACTGTCCACTAGAGGGGGAGAGGGGCGGCGTGAGCCTCCCGCACCGCACGCACGCCCAGCCCTCTGGTCAGCCCGGCGCGCTTAGCTCAGTACCTGAGGAGCTGCGGTTTCGGGAGCGGTTAACCGCGTCGCCTCGGCCGGTCACGGCAGCTGGGGGCCGAGTCTGGCGCGACCGGGAGATGGACAGCCCATCCCCGCTCCCTCCGCTGCCCAGTCGGTTCCGCTGCTGCTTTCTGGGGGAGAAAAGGAGACCCCCGCCTGTGCGTACAACTAAGGCGGGGAACGGCGTCGCTGCGCCCCTATGGGTCACAGCCCGAGGCCGGCGACCCACCTGGGGCCACGAGGCCCAAGAAGGGAAAAAGCGTGCGGAGACAGACCGGGCAGGGGCGGGAGAAACAAGCAAGCAGGGCGGGGGGGCGGGTTGTCAGGCAAGAAGCCTGAGCAGGTGGCGGAGGCGAAGCGACAGAGCAAGTGACCAGCGAGGCAGACAGACTGGACGGGAGCGCAGGCCGGCGGGCAGGGGACGCGGACGGGTGGGAGGCAATGGGCGCTGACCGCATCTTGCTCTCTCTCTGCTTCCTCTCCCTGGCTTTCACAAAGGCTGTGGGGTCGAAACGGGTCACGCGACCACCTAGGGCGGGGTGCGGGCGGGAGGTTGGGGAAGGGAGGCTGGCGTCCCAGAACCGCGCCTCCACGGCCCTAATCCCGCCCACCGCCTCCCACGGGCAGGGCCGGGCAAGGCCAGCGCAGACCTGGGGGTGACGGCGAGGGGCGGGTGGGGCGGCCTAGACCCCGGCCCCGGCCCCCGCGGCCGCTCTCCTGGGAGGAGGAGCGGATGGCGCAGCGGCCGCGCGATGTGGAGCGCTCCCGGGACGACGAGACCCGATCTTCCGGGGCCGAGAGGACCACCGCGGGCGGAGTCCGTCTTCTGGGAGCGGAAGACCCACTGTCATTTACCCGTCAGCAGGACCACTCCTATCCCAGGCCTCTCCCTGGATCGCACCATCTCCGAACCTTCGGGTCCATCCTCCCACCGACCTCTAGACATTCACGCCCTGGCACAGGACCCTCACAGACACGCTCTCCAGCTCCGCTCCTCTCGGAGCCCCACACAACCCCCCAGAAAGAACCCATCTGTCGCTCCCCTACATCCCAACACACCTCCTTTACCCTTCTTCCCACAGCTCCCAGGACACCTGTCCCAATTCTCCACCACCCACACCAACAGGTGCCAGGGGACACCCCCCC